TATGTTATATTTCTATGAGTTATTCACAATGTTTTTATTGTGAAATATAGATCTCATACGAAGAGTTATTATCCCTTTAAGCTTTGCTTAGACTGCTGGCATCAAATAGCTGACTATACGAAGTCGACTTTGTGATATTGGTCTTGAGAGTATTTTACAAATCAGTGGCAAATGATTGGCCTACAATAAATATATAGTTAACACACCTGAGTGACCGTCTGTCACCACTGAGGTTAAAAAATCAATGTTACAACAATCATACTTTCCTCTGAGGGCTTTGTTAAAAGACAAAAATAAGGCAAACAGGCTATTAGATTCTTTACATATATACATAGTCTACCTAATTTTACAGCCTATGAAAGGATCGATTTATTTTTCAACTCTATCCCTTTAACACTAGGTCTAAAAATAGTTTTATACAAGACATTGTTGGATGTGTAAACATAGACACAGTTAGAAATAAATGTAAATTCCATTTCAAACTGAAAATTGGACAATGGAAAAGGGATGTAGAATCAAGTACCCACTGAGTTGCTCTCTCCTCTCTTTTTTACACATTAAGAACAGAAATGCAAACAGTTGCTAATGCTGCACCAGGCCCCCACACTTTTGTTCTCTTATAGCCAAATATTTTCCCACAACATTAAAGTTTTGAGACTCAGGGAGGAAATTTCCAAGACAAAATGTACCACAATATCATGAATCTTAATTGTCCTTTCAATACGTTTCTCTTAGTGTCCAAAGTCAACTTCACTTTTCTTTTTGCATAGAGGTGATGCTCCTCAAAATTAACTACCATCTAGTATTTGTAAACCTATCTGCTTCACTGTGAATTTTGACTTCTTTTTTTATGTAGTGAAATGTAAATGTTTTATACATAATACATTTGAGTCATGGTTACCAACTTCAAATTTTGCTTTATTTTGATTAAAAAACTACCGAAGTCCTTCATGTTTAGTGACAACTTATCCAAGCTCTCCATCTACAAGATACATTGGCTGGAAAGATCAGGAACGAAGATCTGTTGGAGAGAGCAGCACAGGAACCAGTGGCCAAGCAGATAATGCTGAGGAAGTAGGGCTGGATCGGACACAGCCTCAGGCAACTAGCATCCAGCACCACACGCCAGGCCCAAAACACACCCAGAGAGGAAGGGAGGCCAGCCTCGAAACAACTGAGAGCAAGCCACTGGGGCAGCCCAGAAGAGCAACCCAGAATAGAATGTGCTGGTGGAGGGTTGTCGATGACTGAAGCCCATCCATGGGCCATGAGCCTAAACAGATGGGCGACGGGCCTAAGTAAGTAGTCTCCATAGCTACATTCACATTGGGCTGAATTTAGACCAAAAACAGACCTAAACAGATGGGCGACGGGCCTAAGTAAGTAGTCTCCATAGCTACATTCACATTGGGCTGAATTTAGACCAAAAACAGACCAAATGTGGTCACCTGGGTCAATCAAATTATTTGACCTACATATAATCTGGTCATTTAATGAATCCACTTAGTCTGTTCTGGTTATAAATGGCATGAACACAAATCACATGAAAAAAAGTTGCTGCCACAGTATTAACTATCATTCAAATATAAAAAAATGGCAAGACAGAATGATTTTGCTATAAAATCCACTTCTGCTTTTGAATATGCAAATGTATATTTATAAAGGTAATTATTGTGATCAGAATTTTGCATGCCTACATTGAGAAAGCCTACTAGTCATGCTGAAATCTAGTTTTGTAATTACAAAGCCAATGTTTTTTCCTTACAATTTCCCCTGAAAAGGTCATCAGGAAATTTACCCCAGTGGAATAATCAGTGTAACATTTCAATCTCTTAATCATTCTCATGTATGTGCTCTTTAAGCATCAAAGGTCTGTTTGCTGAGTAGATGATCACATTACCCCCCCCCCCCTCCCACTTCTTGAAATCCAGGATCCATTAGTTTTCTTATGTGTCCTTCAGTAGATGTCAATATTGAAAGAATTATTCACCTAACTTGGTACACAGAACACAAGGAATATTTGTTACAATATATATATATATATATATATATATATATATATATATATATATATTTGCATTCTACTGAGTACAACATTTTAAGATGCTTATTGGATTTTGAAGTCTTCATACAAGCAGTTCATTTCATGCACATGCTTTGGTAAATCCTTTTTTACCAACATTATGGTTTTGACATAAAATATTCATGTGCAAGAGAATAAATGCATGAGATTCTGACTTTTATTTACTGCTTGTTAACTGCTATAATGGCAAAAAAATGTTCAGAAATCGTGTCATTCATACAGAAACAGTTCAACTTGATTGATATTGTACAATTAACAGTGATCTCAAATTAAATCAAAATATATGTAAAAGTCTGTTATTGTTATAAGTCACCTGCAATTTGATTTACACAAATTCATACCCTGACATTTCAAGTGTGCATCCCCCCTCCCCTCACTAAATGAATTTCTTAATTTGTGTTTGTTTAATAAGAGTTCAAGTCATTAATGAGTGGAGAGAGAGGTAAGTGGAAAGAGAGAGAAAGAGAGGGAGAGACGAATCAGTAGGTTTCTAAATCAAGCAGTGCAAATAAATATTCTAGCAGCCCTATCCAATTCCCCATTGCACATGTTAGCCACCTTTCACTGGGAGGAATGCTTTGAAAGTAAAATACACCTGGGGCAGCCATCAGATCTCAACTGAGAACAGAAAACCATTCTCAGGTGGAACGGAACAGGTAAAATCATTCTCAAAGCAAGTTCAGACTTTTTTTCTGGGATAATTCTGTATAGGTAATATAAGGAAGCAAAATCAGACCCATTAAACAAGACATGCAACAACTGGAAACCTTTGAACTGAAACTCCAAGGAATCAATATTGAACAGTGCTATAAATGTATTCTAGTAAGTCTTGTCTTTGATCCTAAAAAGCACAAGGGATTGATGAATTTATGCCCAATGCCACTATGTGTCATTTCCCTAATGTCCCTGCAAAACTACAACAGTGAAACATTCAGATATATTACTTTCAGAAGATATATTTGATCAATTACCTAAAACAAAAACCCATACTGAGCAGTGTAAACCCTTCGCAAAAGAGGGGATGCAGGTTTGAGCAAATTTCATTCTCAAAAAATCAATTTAAAAGTCCTGAAAAAATCCATTTAAAAGCCAAACGTTAATTCCAATTTTTTTTATTTCTTATCATAAACCAAAGCTAGGTTAATCCCACCTTAATCTCAGCCATTAAGTCTTTGCAAACAAAGCTGACACAAATATTCTTTAATTAATTGTATTCATAACTTGCACAAAATGATCAGTAACACAGTTAAATCAAACTTCCAAATGTATGATAATTAAAATTAGGCAATATTTGTCACTCCTAAGTAAGGTTTGTATGTTTTCTTATAAATACCAACCGTACGGAGGCTAAAAGACATATCATCAAAAAGTTATCAAAGGTGGGGTATCTATTTTGAGACACAGTTAAGTGCTTTTAAACTCTTGCATATCGTTTTAAATTCTACCTGCAATGGTTAATCAATTCAAGAATAAAAGCACATAACAAAACAATAACATGTATAAATATGCCACCACATCTTATAATACATGAAATCAAATCAAATATCCATTGGAAAGCCATGCTATGACTAAAATTTACCTATATAAATACAAAACAGGGGGTTCTATTTATAATGCAAGAGCTTGGCAAACAATAGGCTAATTGATTCATATAGCTGATGTTCTCTATATTTTGTTATCACACCATTCTAGGCTTGGTATTGATGGAAAGCAAACCCAATCCAAACAGGAGAGCAAGTCAAGCTAAAGAACACATTACTTCTGCAAATGAGGCCATGATCATAGCTGGCTTGACTATCCACATCCAGATATAGTTAAACTGATATTACTTGATTACAAGACCACTTTTCTTGAATTTCTTGTTGAACACATGGATGAGACTGCCATTTTGTGAAAAAGTCTATAGATATTTATAGATAAATATGGCAAGGGGTCCTGGGGGTGCCTGTATCAATCTCAAAAATGATATTTTTGGCTCCCAAACAGGCGATAATCTGCAGATAGTTGGAAAAATCTCATTACTGTGAATAATTCAATAGAAGATGGAAGACAAGTATATGTGTAACAAGCCCCCCCCCCCCCCCACACACACACACACCCTTTAAATTCTCATATTTTGTTTCACATGAGGAAATGGTGCAAAAAGTCAAACAAAAATAATTTTGTACCCTAATGACCCCCCTTCCTTGTAAAATCTTGAATTCGCAAGTATAAGAAAAAGAAAAAACATATAAATGTTTGTTTTTTTTTGTTTGTACTTACTTTTTTGTACTTTTTTATATGGGTAAGTTTCTTGTTTTTATATGATGCCTCTTATGCATTTATGATAAGCACCCTTCACTTAAAAACTTCTGTAGAATTGTACTGTGCTTTTTTTAATAATAAAAATTGTAGACATCTCTCCTAGTAATACTTATTTTGCATTCTCATAACATTGTAAGTTTAAAAAAGGAATCCTACTAACCAATTATATCAAACCACATAGAAAATTTTAAGGGCTGTTGGGAATATAAGGCAATCAAATAATAGTACTAAAAGTACAATGATTTCATTCATATCTGGAGAAGCAGTGGACAGATGCCTCATGGGAATGAGCACTTAATACTGCATGAGGATTTCATGAGTGCTCTCACACTGCAGCAGTTGGGGTAATATTGGTGCATGCAAAAGGTTAAATGAACTTCTTGGCACAGTGTATTTTTGATCATTTTGGAACATAATTAGAAGGGCAAACAGTGAGTTACAGAATACTAAAAATAATATATTCTGACAGTCGTTTTATACAAGTGGAAAGGGGCAAACTGAAAAGTGTAGATATATTACAGGAAAAAGGATCATTAGGGGCAAGCAGGACTGGAAGATAAATTAAAACATTTTCAAACAGGCAAAATGGTGAGGAAAAGGACTGCATACTCACTCATATTCATCATTTTCGAATATCAAGACCCCAGATTCCTCTTCAAAATCCTTGCCCAACTTGGCTGTTCCTTCAGTGATTTGGTAGGGTAGTCTCACACGACCACGTGCCCCAGAAGACCGACACACCTTCACCTCTGCGTGCCCAACAGACTCAACCACAGCCATTTCACTCTCCGCAAAATGGAAGATACCAGCATGGTCATCATCTAGGATCATGACAGTGGCTGTAGATGGGGTGTCCAGTTTGACCAGCTCCTGATCATGCTGGCCATGACTGTGAAACATTCCATTGGCATCACCAAGACGCAGATTGCTTAGATGGACATAGAAGTGCTCGTCTTCTTCAAAGATGTCATCGTCCAGGATGGTGACTTCAAACTGCTTGTGAACTTCCCCGGTCTGAAATATGACGGTGCCCTCTGCATGCTCATAATCAGTGCCTGCGTTGGCAGTCCCATCTTCCGTTCTATAGTCTACATACAGGGTTTGGCTCAAGTCGCCACCCTTCCTGGTAACTGTGATGCTGAACTTGCCAACATTTTCCATTACTGTATAGTGCCCAGGGTCGAAGAATACTCTGGTGATGTTGTCATCTGGTTCCTCCTCTTTTTCCTCGGCCTCTTCATGAAGTGTCTTCTCAATCTTAGCCTTTTTGATGACATTACCCCCACCAGTAAGCTTACGAGTGGCTTGGATGCGATAGTAGGCTCGACTTTTTGGCCCACGGTTCAGCAACTCATATTCTGCCATTTCCTCCAATGTTTTCATGTCAGCATTGGGATTCTTTTTGCGAAGCTCTCGCAGAATTTCAATGTATTCTTTCCGATGGCGCTCAAATTCACGAACATCCTCCCCAGCATCCTCTAGCCCCTTGAATTCTACATTGTTTGCTTTACCGTCTGCCAATTCAACATCGCCTTCTGCTTGCACCACCATGGTCTTCCCACGATTCGCCCTGTATCTTTTCCTCAAAAATCTATGTGGTAGTAGTTTTTTGTCTGCAATGTATGCACTTATTACAGTTAGAGGGAAAAACATAAGCGTAACGACAGCTTCCCAGAGATTCACCTCCCCTGGTGTTATTACTGCAATAATGAAATACAACCACAAATATGCAAATATACTCCACGATGCAGTGATAAAGAATACGCGAAGATGCTTTATGCGTCTCACTTCTCCTTCAGGGACAACATACACACAAATTGAAATGATGACAAAGAGATTAAAGGCTGCACTTCCTACAATTGTACCAGGGCCAAGATCTCCAGCTTTAAAGTTATTATTAAAACAAATTTCAATAATTGACAGTAAAATCTCTGGGGCTGAAGAACCAAGAGCCATAAGAGTTAAATTTGAAACAGTTTCATTCCAAACCCGTACCACTACAATTTGTGTATCTCCATTGGCCATTTTGACTGTTAGTTCTTTTTCTTTGGAAGTAATCACTTCAATCGCTCCCATGAAACGATCTGCTACGATCGAAACTCCCAGAAACGTGTAAATCAGGCTAATAAAGTACACTATAGCTCTAGCTGCCTTGTCTCCACTACTGAGGTTTTCATCTGGCTGCCACACTGGTAACATATTCCCTTTCTTACAGGGACGTATCCCCAGGCATTTGTCATAGTGGGGATCCTCGCCTTCTATACCAGTTTCAGTATTGTTCTGTGCATTGACAGTCTGCATAGCTAACAACATCACTGCCACAGACAACATTATTGTTACAGGCGACCAAGGAAACATCCTGCTTTTGGTGTGACACTCCATCTTGAGTTGACTGACTCTCTGGGCACTAGAGTAGTACAGCAAGCAGAGGCATACCTGGCCACAGGCTTCTAGCTACCTAGCAGTGCTGCTGGTGTGGATAATACAGTGCAGCAAGCTGAAGCTACCTGATCCTCCTGCAGCTGACGTCCAACACTATTGTTAATTTTAGCCCTCTTCAGCACATGAGGCAGTCATAACTCTCTCCACACCTATCTAGCAGCCAGCCTCAGATATGATCATGTGCTATATATGGTCAATCTCTAACATCAGTAAATCAGCTGCGTGTGTGCTGGTCTAGAAATACATCCCCGCTGCGCCGTTGAAGGTGTACCGCGCTCTACCGAAGCGAGCTATATATCTGTAGATATTAATACACTACACCAGCGCGAATATGTGTAATGTTTGCAAGCACTACGCGCGGCGGATCTCAAGCAAGAGGCCGCTTGGCATCCCCTCCTGCTATTAGTTAATACGAAACTACTCGTTTGCCAGTATATAAGCTTTCAGGTAAATCACGAACTGCTGAAGTACAATATGCAACTTCACACGTTTGCAAACCTCAAAGATCAACGCTTGTAGTACTCTGACCGCCGGTAGTAAAAACGTTATTTAGAAAATGTTACAAATATACTGCAAAGCACATTTACAATAAAATTAAGTCAATATTAAGTACACGTATTTTCCCTCGCACAATTTCAATTCATATTGTATCGATCGCATGCTGAACTAACACAGTGTGCGCGTCGTAATCAAAACACGCAGAAAGAAAAGCTCACCGGTAAGTCTACGCAAGCGTGTTAGAAAACTAAAACAAAAGCGGTTATCATTGCGTTTGTCTCAACAAACACAATTGAAAATGAGAAAAAGCGCCGAGCCCTGTTGAGAATTTAATGTTTGTACTTTAAATATATATGTTTTCCATGTGTGGACCCATTTATTTTTTCAAGCACCACATTTTCCATTTCCACCATGATTTTGATGTAATTATAATAAATCCGTAATGTACAAATCCCCAAGTCTTTTGTCATAAAGACCTTCACCTTGACCTAGATAATCTGGCGGGAGTTCGCATCCGTACGCCAAATTGGCTGTTTCGTTGGAATTAGCAGGAAAATATTTCATAGAAATACTACATACAGAGAGACAGTATGGGTGTAAGTATTTATGATTCGTTTATGAATGCAGTTACTGTTGGAAAAACTTTGAAATTGAGAGATGATAGCATACGATCCGTAATCTTTTTTCAGCTGCTGCCGTCAGCGATTAATTTTTATCAAATTGTCACAGTCCATAGATTATAATCATCATTTAGGAATCGACAGTTTAATACAAGATGATCAGATTAAGGGTAGCAGAACTGTAATTAACACGTTTTTGTTTAATGCCGGTGCACGAGCACAAATCAAGTGTATATGGATCCAAATTTTTCACAAAGTAAGAGGGGTCATTTTATTTAACTAACATTATGTCTCAGATTGCCTTTTTTCATTCTACTTGACACTGGTGCAGGATCTGAATTTGTACATTTTGCCACTTAATATCACCATAATTTAATAAGGTAACATTTAACTTTATCTTGGTATATATTTATAGCGAAAATCTAACAAGGAGTCATCAAAGGCCAAAGAAAAGAGACTAAAGAGAAAAGAGGTAAATATTTAACATTATTAACACTAACCATGCAATTATGTCAAATATTAATGTCAGTAAAAACAGTGAAAATATGCATTTTAATTGTTGTTACACATGCCCTCATATATTGCCTAAAAGATATAAAATTCATGGGAAGTATTAGACCAAACCTAGAAAGCGAGAGTGCATTGACCCAACATATGGTAAGTCACTGGCACAATTGAAGTTATTTTGACATTGACTCAAGGTTGGCCCAATTATGGCTTGCCAATGTCACAAATTCAAACAATATCAACTTATCTGCTCTCAGGAAAGACAATTTAAGTCCTTCAATTTCATAAGATAGAAATTAAACTTTAAACATCTTGTGTATTTTTTGTAGGAATCGTCCAGAATAGCTGCTTCTCAAGCTGTGTGTGATGCAGCAAATAAGGTGATTGCCTCAACATATATGTAGATTTTCATTTAAAAAGTGAAAATTATTCTGCATTTTGTTACATGTACAAGAGCAAAAACAATAGTCCAGATTGTGATACTTGCTTGAAATGTTATGAGTACCTTGTTACCTACTGCATGTAGTATCGCAAAAATTATTGTCAGGCATTATAATTTGACTATAGTGTAATGGTGTACCAATTCTTCTGTAGATACATTAAGTTCTGCAATTTACTAGTCCTTACTATTAATTTGTTAAGGCCAAGTACTTTGGCTTATGGAAATTAAAAGAAAAAAAAAGATTTTGATTTGGCATGATTTTGTTATATGAAATGTTAAATGACCGAGTGTTTCCTGGAGGCTTCCAACTTTAATTCATAACAGAACTGTCTAATTTGATAACACATTTGCATAAATAAACATTTTAGTTAGAAGATCCCATGGCTACATTACAACCATTCAAGACATTCGACAGAAATGGGTAAGCATTTAAAAGCTATTAGAATTAATGATAATTATCTATAACTGTCTGTAGCTATCTATATCTAGATACTAGTGCTAATGCCAAAACAAACTGACTTGATGATAGCATATTGGGAATTCAAGCCAAGGACATTTATCAGATTTCATAATTTCAGCTTAAAGGTCACAATAGAATGCAAAAGAGTGACAGATTTGGACAGAGATACAATAGATTGGGCCTTCCAGCTCACCAAGGACAACATGCAAAAGATGTAAGTATAGAATCAACATTTTTTAATAGTTTCAATTAGGTGCATTATGTAGTAAATTGACCCTTGTACTATTTGGATCATTTAGCATGCTTAGGCTGGCATATTAGATATTCATTAAATGTGAAATATAAATGATTCGAGAAACATTTGCCCTTGCTTTTTTATCATTGATTTAGCAAAACGTACTCAAGCAATAAACTTTCAAGAGTGGCCTCTGATATAGGTGAGGAAATAATTGACTTTTGACAAAGAAAATATCCAGAAGAATATATAACACTGGCATAAGCAACTCCCTTGTGTCTTTCTTTCTGTCTTTCAAATGTTCGAATTCTTAGATACACCCAGGATGAAATATAGATGTTAACCTGTTAAATGAGGTAACCTTTCCTCTAAATCTATATTCATCTTCTAGGTATGAAGACAGTGACTGGGGGTGGAATGATAAGGATAAGAGGGATGAACTTACTGATGAGGCAGCGTGGTATCTCCTTGCACGCACTGATGATAACAAACCTGTGGCCTTCATACACTTCCGATTTGACCTGGAGGAAGAAGTGGAAGTATTATACTGGTGAGTGGTGTAACTGTTTCCACATTTAGAAAGCCACATGGAGCACATATAAACCACTCCCACTAGTTTCTTTAAAATTAAAATAAAGTTGACATTCCAAGGGAAAAACCAAATTAATCGCTCAATCAACCATAAAAGAGCTTTAAAACTGCACTTTTAGATTTCTGGTTGTAAATTGACCTACTTATTTAAATATCTGACCCTCCAGTTTGTGAAAAAACTACAAACTAAAAAATTGTATTTGGCAAACTGAAAAAGTAGGTCTGTTGCCAATATTTGATAATATTTATTCAAATAGCTTTTTTAATGCAGCTGCTCATTTATGGAATCCATTGATGCATCCATTGATTTTTTTTTCATTGATTAAATGATTTCATATATTTATTTTCAGTTATGAAATTCACCTTAATAAAGAAGTCAGAAGGAAAGGTCTTGGAAAGTTTATGATGCAGATATTAGAGCTCATGGCATTCAAGTAGGTTTTTAAGTAAAAACTTGTGCTTAANACCTATTTTGCATCTTTATTTTCTGTTTTTGTCTGTTTTTGTCTGTACATTTGACAGCTTTGCTGCCTTGTATAAAATATTTGTAGAAAATTTGATATAACTTTGACAAAATTGTCATCATAAAATACATGATTTTTTTTGTGGTATCTATAGTGTAGACTTGAGCATGTTAATGAAGCTTTGTGTGTGAGGGAGGTACAGCTAAGATACTTAATTTAAGATTTACAGTAACTTAATCTGTGAAACTACATTTTGAATCATATTTTTCAGAACTCAGATGAAGAAAGTGATGATGACCGTTTTAAAAATGAATGAAGGAGGGCAGAATTTCTTTGTGAAAACTCTCAAGTAGGTTTTGCTATAACATAATGAGCTACTGTTGCTTTTTCATGTGAAAATAATCATAAGTGTCACATAAGACCTAAATGGAGTTTTCATCAATTATCATTTAAACATAGTTTAAGTTCTGTAGCTTGTACTGATTAGAAACACTTGTGCAGAATCTTGTTTCTATTGTCCCAGAATTGGTATATGTTTCAGATATGCCAAGGATGAAATCTCACCAGATGATACCCTTTTTGAGGAACCTTTTGCTTATGATATTCTCAGCAAGCCAGTGGGACAGAGGAAACCATTACAGCAACAAAGTCAACAGCAGGCATCTGCTTCAGCAGTGGCTGCTTCCTAACAGTTCTCAATCACCGTCTTGAGAGTACAAAACTTGTAGATAGTGTATAAAATTTTCTGCATATTTATTTTGGCAGTTTTTAACAACTTTTGGGAAATTGTAAGTATATTTGTTTTTGTTAATTGATTTTTTATGGGGTACCTATACAAACTTGTGTTCTCCGATGCATGAGACACAGATGTGTGGATAGAATTTCTCATAGTCCTCTAGCCTAGTTACATGATTAAGTATTCTTGAATGCCTCCGATTTTTAAAAATCAGTTTCTCTGTCATTTATGTTAGATGTGATGATAAAACTTTTTTCCAATAATCATTGAAAATTGAGGTTTTGTTATGATTTTGGATAATTATGAAAAAACAATGCAGATGATCATTGTAAGCAATACAAATACTGTATAGGTTGAAATGCAGCATTGTTAAATACTTAGAAAGAATAAATATGAGCATAAGTGCATGCTTTATTCAATGACTTGCACAATTGTTTCAACACAGCAACCATCACCAGTTCACATATAACAAAGCACTCGGCTCATTTACCACAATGTGTAGATTATGAAGGTTTAAAATAAAACTATTTGTACAATTATTTCCACTTTTGTGTAATATGACCCCTAAAACACTTAAGACTCACAGAATGACCCTTAATGCATTTTTGCTCATTAATATTTTTCAAACCAATCATTGTTCAAAATGACATCCTGAACTTTTCCAAGGTAACAAGCAAAACTAGACAAATTATAAATTAAGAAAGCTCATTCCCTTTGATGAAGCTAAATCATCTTCCATGGCCTTTAATAGGAACTATTAATAAGCAACTCCATAGTGGGTCAAGAAATACATTTCAAATCTCTACTTGTAGAAGCTATGTTTTTGAAATTCATACCTTCACCATAAAAATCCTCATCACAAAAATTCTTGTCTCAAGTGATCCATTTTACCCGTAGCTATAAATAATTTATGAAGTGCAAATTTGACACAACTAGTATCGTACCTTGTATCAATTTTCATCTCCACATTATCCTCTCACAGCTGCATGATGAAAATATTATAACATAAAACTTCACTCCCAAAAAACAATGCCACTTAACGGAAGGCAACGTCCACCCAAAGCTAAATATTCAATCTCCTATAATTTTGACATGCAAAAAGACTGGCCTAAACAAAAGGGAAATATAATAATAAAAAAAAGTTATCAAAAAGCAGAAAAATGCATTTGTAAGGAATGAAAGCTATGGATATTCAAAAAAAATGTCAGTAAGACCACGAAAGAATGTATGTTCAACAAAAAACGGATTAATCAAGGTTAATTACAAGGTTAGATACATAACTGAAAAGTTGATAAAAACACTTCTTTTTATTCTTAAAACAACAACAGGACAACAACAGAAAAAAAGGTGCTCCAATAATTATTGACAAAATTGAGTGATCATTTGACCTTTATCCCTCCACCTGGAAGCTAATCAAACTACTATCACATAATGTCATTTTTATAATGCTGCCCTCACTGCTTTTGGTCTATTCACTAGTATTACAAACTAATCATGGCACTATGAATGTAAGCTTCTACTTCTGACAGCAAACTGTACTTTGTATATTGTTAGATACATGCTTGCCTGATATGGCCAATATATACACTACAGTGCAGTTTCAAAGAGAAAACTGCTGCATATGTATGCAGTAATTTTTTCCCAGTAGTTTTCAACTTGTATAAAATCATCCCATCTTAGAGACCTTATCTGGTATCAATGACAGCAGTTTAGGGTGTAAAATATTTCTTAGTAAATCAGGGCACCTAAAGTTAACTCTAGTGGGCTATGCACAGTAGGACAATTTAAAATAAAGCATAATATGGTTGTGACAATCAAATTAATTTTGGTACGTTAACTGACAGATTGTAAATTTAGAAAAAAAAATAATCCAGATCCTTGTTGTCACTGAGGAAATTCAGCTGTTAAGTTGAACATCTTCAGGGATGTCATGTACTCAAAACAGCTGTATTAGGGATAAGCGGTCTTGACCAACACCAACCCACTTGACTGGAAAAAAAATGTTAGAATAATGTCAGTGACAAGAAAAATTAGGTTTATTTTGAAATTTGGTCAAAAATATTCTTTTAAACATTGTCACACTAATGTTAGAGAGAATTTAATATCAAAGTTTCTACAAAGATATAGAAAACTGAAAAAAAGTTATTCAAATTGAACTTCAAATTGCTACCATAATGTACCAGCAATTACAGATGAACGACACTTTTGAAGTTATTAACTTTTTTATCAGCAAATTTTCACAGAAAATGGTGAAGGATCTTACTTGGCACACCAATTAATTCTTCCACTTTCTTCACATAATTTTGAGCATTTTCTGGGAGGTCTGAGAATTTCCGGCAGTCAGCTGTGCTCTTTTTCCACCCAGGTAACGTGACATATTCAACATCCACTTTAGCTAATTCCTCCAATGTGGCTAAATTTGACACAGAATTAAAAGAAATTTTAATAACCAAACTGAAGCAGTTAGAGCGTTTATTTCAAAGGGTGTTCTCTTGTCATTTGTTTATTTTTGAACAACTGAGCTATTTCGGAGAAAAAGCACTATATTTTCCTATACTTACGGGGAAAAGACTTGGTGACCTTGCCATTAATTTTGTATTGGGCCCCAATCTTCACCTCTTCAAATTCATCCAAGATGTCAAGTTTTGTTAATGCAATACTGCAACAAAAATAACATGTAGGTTATTTTTCTGTTTAATTCAGTACCATTCATCAAATCTTGTAGTGGAATTAAACTAAAGCAAAAATAACAATGAACTTGCGTTCACTGAAAATGTGCCAGACACTTCAAAAAAAAAAAAAAGTTTTTTCAGTAATTTTACATCACAAAATAAATGACAAATTATTCCTGGTGACACTTCTGTGTAATATTTTCACTCTAAATGTAGTAACATTTCACATGAGTTATCTGTTCCTGATAATGTTTAAAAGATAATAATAAAAGCCTGAAACATCTTACAACAGCAGGTTGAGAACATTCAAATTTCAAATTTCTCCAAAACATTTCATTCATAAAATAGTGACCTCTTTATAACTAGGTCATTTTATGACAGGAAACTTTGTAAGTAATGCAATGATTTGACTTAGACATTGTCTTATCAGTTTCAGTTTACCTCCCCCCCCATAAAATATGTTTGATATACAAGTTTTAGTGTTACAGGTTACAAGGAGTGTACCGTACCCATCAACTTACCATGTGTACCCATTTAACATGTTGGTGTAGTTGACCACTACTGTGTCCAACCATCCACACCGCCTCTTACGCCCAGTGGTCACTCCAAATTCATGGCCTTTTACTTGCAAGGTTTCGCCAATATCCTAAAATGGAACAATTACCAATAGTCTTTGAAATTCTGTAGCAGATTCAATTAACTCATTGCTGACCCTTAAAACTTAAACAACAAATGTGCTTGTTTGTATGTAATACTTGAATTAATTAGTTACTAAAGTACTCAATAATCACAATATACAGCCTTTTCATGTACTGCAAGAACTAATTGTGACTTTTTATAAACTGTGATCCTTATAATATTGTTTTTATATTTTGTTTTATATTTTTATTGTTTTTATATTTATTATATATAAATTATATTTATTATATATATAGACTGCAGATCTCGTTACATTAAAGTACTTCTGTGTTTGATGATAGCTGTACACTTAAGAGAGCGATTTCCTCTTGATTTCTACTCACGTTCAGCTGCTCCGTGGGTAAGACTCCTCCACCAACCCTGGTTGTGTAGGCCTTCACAACCCCAATTACATCTCCAATTTTCTGTGCTGGGATACCAAGACCCGTACACACACCACCTATACTGCAGTTGGAGGAGGTTACCGATGGATACGTCCCTGTAAAATCAACAGAATACATTTACCCCCCTCCAAAAAATAAAATTGAATCAGCACTTAGATTTGTGGTGGGAAGAGATATAACTGTTTTAAGAGGTCATGAAGGAATTAAGTTATGGAAACAACAAAATCAATGGTGTTCATGAAGCTTGGATAAACTTGCTTGTGCAAACTTATAAACTTTAACTACATTAAATTCAAGGAGGATAGACAGCATAATGGACAGTTTTTAAGTTATATCTACCACATTTCATAATACTTGAAAAGCTCATAAATCTGCAACTTTTGAACTTCAAGATAACTGTCATAAAAATGTAATGTAATGTAATGTAATGTAATGTAATGTAATGTAATGTAATGACAGAATAAACACCAAGGAAAGTGAATAGAGATGAAGAATCACCACTCTTAATCCCTCTGACAAATTAATAACAGGCTGTTTAAGAAGATGATTTTTCTAAACTCTGAACACATGTGAAGCAGCCTTACTTGTCATCAAACTTCTAAAAGTATAATGCCAAAATTGGCAAAATACCATAATCTTTTATAAGCACATGCAGAGGAACTTTACAAACCTCCCACCACATTTGAGAAATGATTCATACCCCTTGCCTTGTCATTATCACCATTCATGAATCAAATAAAATACTTAATTCTAAAGCACATTTTTTAAAATTACTTGTTGCTCAATCAATTTTTTCACATAAAAGACTTACTTCCATAGCACATTTTTTAAAATTACTTGTTGCTCAATCATGTATTTAAATCAGGCCAGAGAGAAGGAGGATCAAATAAATGTCTTTTTGACAAAATACAATAGTAAGGAGTTTGTGATTTTAACATTTTTAAATCTTATAGCTGGCAAAAACTCCAAAACTCTTTTAGTTTTATGGACTCCAAATGGCTTCATTTTTTTAACAGAGAAAATCATTTTAAAGATGGATAAAACAGCAGCCACGTTGAATGTTCTCCTTTATCTACCTGTGTGTGTGTGTGTGCGTGCGTGCATGTGTGCATGCAGGCATGCGTGCGTGCGTGCAAGCAAAGACACTCAATTTTAAGGGATAACACCTCTTCATTTTGACAGGAAAAGGGCCAAAGAACAGATTTTCCTGGGGTTAACGACAATTTTCCCGTACTTACCAATGGTTAATGAATCTGTTCCAACATTCAAAGTTAGTAAATTTTTTTAAAGTATTTTGTGTAATAATCTCTTAGATTAATATGGAGGGTAGCCATCTTTGAAAGTCCACATGGTCTGATGGCAAGCACAGATTTCAGACTAATTGCGATAACCGTCATTTTGGTAGTGAAAAGGAATTTATATTTGTGTGTTGTTTACCATGTACTTGTGGAATTTTCAATGGCAAAGGAAGAGCTGTTTTCCCTTTTAGATACATTACAAAATAAAACATGTACATATATTATGACAAAAGACATTTTACTTATTCACAAAAACTATAAAAACAATTCTTGTCATAAACTTACCAAAGTCAATATCCAACATGGATGCGTTTGCCCCTTCTACCAGCACCTTTTTTCCCATTTCTAAGGGCCTCATTCATATAGAGAGGGGTGTCTGTTACAATGTCTCTGATCCTCTCCCTATATTCCTAAAAAATATAAATGCAAACCCCATTTAAACAAACACATTTAAAAACAGACATTTCATCAATTTAAAGCAAAATGAGTAGCTAAGTTATAAAATCCTTGATACACATATAATGATTTAAATATACTAAACAATTCCCTTTGATTCCTATGCAACATCAATAAAATTGCATGTAAGAGTAGCCCTCTCTCAAGAACAAACTGGACATGGTATATATTCTTTCCAAATTTCTTTGACTTCTACTTACTAAGAACAATAACATATTCACATAGGACTGAAATTACTAGGGCAGAATTCTTTGTTTTTGCATTTTTCAATGATTTTAGGACAGTTTTGGCAAAATCCCCATGTAAAGCGATGTAATAAAAGTGACATTTTTTTGGATGCTACCTCTCAAAAAACAAGCTAGATTATCCCTCTATCTATTTTCTACTCATATGGTCTGTAGATTTTGTCTTACAATTTCAATTCAGTTGTTTCTGAAATATGAGAGAGCCTCCTTAAATTGAGTTTGACTGTGAGTGCCACATTGACAGAACTACAGTTCAGTGCACTCTCTACCAAAGATCAGCTGGGGTATGATGTAATTCTTTCTTTCTTCCTTTTTTTATTTTGATATTTTTATACAGAATCAGACAGAAAAATATCTATGAATTCATGGTGAAAAAAATCTTTGTTACCCTGGCTGAGAGTTCAATACAAAGTATAAGGTTAGATTGTAAATACAATTTTAGGAGAGTTTCTGCTACATGGATTGCCTTTGTATGACCGAGTACACATCATCACAGAAAAGCAAACATGCATTCAAAGACCTTTCAAAGATATGCAAATGTTAATAGGGCACAAATTATTATCATTTCTTTAGTTGACCCCATTTCCTTTCAGCAGTAGGCACAAATACACCTAGGTTCTTGCCAAAAGTGCATATTTCATCAATTCAAATAACTGAGTCAATTTCAATGCTAAGAAATAATGTACAGAAAGACTGAAAAATATTATTATAACTCACCTGAGAAATAAAATATCTGACTCAGAAACAATGAGTCACATTACATTCCAACTAATCAAAGTTTTGACCTCATTTGACAGCTATTTAAATTAATGAATATTAAACAACAGTGGTAAAATAGCGTTACTGCATTTTATTAAAATGACTAACCTTTTACGTGAATAACACCTTCTTGGATGAATGAATAAGGAAGAGGAAGTAGAACTAGCTAATGGTCATGCTGTAAATTTAATTCTATTTATTTAATGCATGTGTCATAATTTAAATGAAGTCCTACGTATAATATCTTCAGATAACTCTTCTGGAAACTAACAGTCACAGATTTCTTCCATGCTGCTTCTACTATATGACAGGACATCCCCTACATGTGCAACACTGATAATTATCATAGCAGAAGGACTTTTTAAAAAGAGCAAGTATGTGTGATAATCATAGCCACTGGTTTTGTATTAAAGTTGCTATTTAGACTGGATGTTTTAACATTTTTTGATAAAGAAATAATTATCTGACATTAATTCAAGACTGCTGATTGAGCTTATTATCAAGGTTTAATAAATAAAACTAGAAGTCTTTTCAACAATAGCTATACAGTCAGAAAGCTAACTTTACTAATGTTTAGTTACGTCATCTTATTTCCAAATTTATAGGTATATAATTGCTTAATTAATGAAAATTGGCAAAATTTCAGTTTATCCATTTCAATATCATTATATAATGTAAATGTATGTTTTAAAGGTAAAGTTACATGAGATACTTATAAGTATGATTAAGATAAATCTTAATCATATGGTGATAATGCAGTCTTGGGTAATTTTATTGTAGTCAAGTAACTTCTTGTATATATACTAAATGTGCTTTTTGTATACAGGCACATACAAAATGTACTATTTAGTTTGTAAATGTATCAATTTCAAATACTTAAACGTATTTACTTCATAAGGAATGGATTTCCTGGACCCTTCAGCCTCCTTAGCAGACTTAAGCGTGGATCTTCTACCAGACACTCCGCGGGTTGTCATAATTCTTGCAACCATTACTCTACTTGTCAACATTTCGGACCTTATCAGCGACTGGTACAACTATATAGACTTTCAATTGGCCAGCAATGAGAATATGGAGCAGACGACAATTTTACTGTACATTCTATTGGGGCTGGTTTGCATGTCTACCATCCTGTTTTTCCTTGAAGTTTTATATCTACGGGCCTTGGTGAAAAACAGAACAGATTATCACAAACTTATTCAGAGGGGAAGCATATTGTCATTTCTTTTGCTCATACTAGAAGATTTGCCCATTTCTGTAGTGTTGTTGCTAGCTAGCTTCAGGCAGTGCCACACACAGCAACAACTATTTACATTTGCAAACAGGATAGCCACGTCAGTAACACTGATAAGCTTGCTATGGAAAATAACAATGATTGTTAAAGACTGTTGCTGTAACTGGAAGGACACCTGTGGATTTCTATGGGATAAGGTAATAAGAGGTGTAATTCTTTTTGTTGCTCTTCTCATTGCTGTTTACAACATGCTTATGGCTTTCCAGATCATAGGGCAGTCTTCGATCAGCATATCATTTCAGCAAGATGTGGCACTCCAATATAAGTATATGAATTCCACAGAACCTGCAGCTCTTGTTCACAATCACAGAATTGTCAAAGTTATAAATAGCTCTCAATTGACAATCAGTGAACTTTTACTGGCCGGAGATGACGGAATAAGTATTCAAACCCCTTGTGAGGAAGTAACAAGTTACCCAAAATCAATTGTCCAGCCACACCATCGACAATTCTTGGGAAATCATCAATGTACATTTGTCATCAAATTTGTCATGAAAGACAGCAGCATTAAGTATAACACAGGTTACACATTAAGACATGTCAATTTGTCTTCTTGTCACCAGGAAATCACCCTTAACAATGTTACTGCGTATCCCATGAAAATCAACTGGGATAAGAAGTCATATGATGAATTAAAAACACAATTTGGCTGTCGGGGTGACATCTTGGAGGAAAATGGAGAACAAATTCAAGGTCTTCCCCACATATTTCCACTTCAGTCCAATCCACAGACAGATATCCAGATAATCAACATTAGGCATCCAAAGAAACATAATGGACACAGAAAATTTAAAGACTATAGTGCCACATGTGTGATTAAGTTTAAAGAAAGTCCAATGCATGAAAGCTATCTTTCTCCACTTACAGTCAATGTGGACTCCATGTGGAACCCATGTTTTACAGATGTAAATATGGATAAAAGCATATTCCTACCAGTGTGCTAATATCAACTTACAAAAATTAATTTATTCATTCTTTTAATTTTTTGAGCAATTTAATTTATAGTCAATTTAACTTACATTCATGTTATACACCTCAATTTACAATTATGTATTATATTTTAATCTCATTTTGTGTTTCAAGATTTAGTTTTTGAGTCTTGTAAACAATTTTATAGATATTTTTACAGCAAAACTTCAATAAAATGCACTCGTCTTTTCAACCATGTGTTCAAGTTAAATGATAGATAGCTTTAATCTTACCCCTGAATAAGAGATGCCTTTTTATAAGTTTTATATGATCGAGTGCTGTTTTCTACAACTGTCAACCCACAACATAGGTAACCAGGATCATCACACACCAAGTTCAATGCATACAAAAATATATGTATTGCCAACAGAATCTCTAGAAAATGTATGCTGTATTTGTGAAGTATTGTGTCAATAAAAAAAAAATAAATAAAAAAATAAAATAAAAAAATAAAAAAATAAAAAAAAAGAATCTCTAGAAAATGCCCACCTTATACTGGTCTAATTCTGCTTGCACATCAATTTCAACTTCTGGGTGAAGTTTCTGAAACTGACAGGCCAGGTTTTGCAATCTGAAAAGGAATAACACAAATCAGAGATATCATGAATTGCATAATTACCCCCTTCTCTTAACAAGTAACAGACAATTTCTCGTTAAGGTAATTGTTTTTGTCTGTTATTATTATGTTCAGACCATTTCATTTGACTTTATCTGAAAATTCCTCCTAAAACTTGTTTTTTCAAATACCTTCGTTTAAGTATAAATATAAATACAAATGTCTTTATTATTTTTCTGACACTTACTTGACTGCAAAAACTTCAAAATCCCCCATCAAGTCACAAATTCTGAGGCCATTCCGTGTGGCCTGTATTCAAAATAATAAAACAACATTTACTAACATGTAAGTTTTTCAAAGAACTTACAACAGACAACTCAAGTAAAATATTTTTTCTAAGACTGACCAAATAGGAATGTATGCTTGTGTGTTAGCTTCATGAAATCAAAAAGTAATTTTCCAAAAATTTCATAATAACTTGGAAAGGTTATTTCAGTCTTGTATGCAAAATTATACCTCATATACAAACTGATCCCCAGTACAGAAAACAACATTTTCAAGTTGGTGATTACACCAAATTGAAACTAAAATGGACCTGGATTAATAATAATAAAAAAAACTTATTTCCTGTTCCATAATCATGAACATTTTGGACCCAGTGCACATGTATGATGCGTCCAAGTGTAGATCAATTTGTTCTAAATAGGACATGATCGCATACACCACTGTATGTCAACCCTGGCGGTATTCCATCAAAAAACAAACTGCTTGCCAGCAATGTACCATTTCATTAACTTTATTTTCTAACTTCCTGCATCTGTATTCAATAGCTAGGCCTTTGGTGAAGATGCCATGGAAATATTTTATGACATTTTTTGAGCACATTTCACAATTTATCTTCATTACCTGATTGCTGGAACTGTGCTAGCAGAGAAAACGTTCACCATTAGGACTCTCCTGCTTAAAAAAGTGTGCAAATTATACTTTTCTGTCACTGGTTAGCCTCTATAGAGGGTGTTTACTGATTTACTTTTTAAAATGTTCTTTTTACCTTTGATGAATATGTTGGTCCAATTCCTTTTTTAGTTGTGCCAATACTGAAATAATATAAATAAAATGAATAGTTAATATAGATTTCTAACATGTCAAAAAAGCAGTCAACAGTAGAGCTGATAACCTACTCAACCAGCAAGCAAGCAATCTCAAAACATCACATTCTATATTTTTTCCATGGTTACATTTCTTTGTGAAAGTGAACAAAAAAAAAAACATTGACTACATAACTTGCATCGTTTTGTTATAATTCACAAGCCAAGCATATATCTTTCAATCTAAAGGACAAAAGTGCTGAAGACCCATTTCTCTTGACTAAGAAAGTAAAAATATCAGGAAGTGAAATTTGCTTTTCATCATTACTAAGAAAGGAAGATGTGGAGAAGTTTGCTTACAAAGCATTTCCTCTGTGTGTTTCCTGAATGCCATCAACTGCTTGGTGAAAATCAAAAACTATGAAATGGAAAAAAGAACAAATCAGTTTTCTATCAATGCAAAGAAACTATCTCAATGATTGAATATATATCAACTAAGATAAGTTGCAGAAAAAAGATGTATTAAAAAGCTTATCATTTATAGAGTATGACAGCCTTCTTCAGAGTTAAAACTTCCAAAGAGCAAAAAAATTGAGTGAAAAAATTATGATTTAGCACATAATAATGGATTTAAACAGCACACGACATGACAAGGAAACACACCTGCTGCTCATTTTATTCACACATACAAACTCACACAGATCTACAGTGGTTTGCACAGGTAGGTTTTGCATTGCTGCATCTGCATATTATAGGTAGGCCATTATTTCCCTCTGCAATGCCTTACATAAAAAACCTAGGCTAGTTATCTTCAACTTTATTCATTCTAATTATGTTTCAGGTATCTTTAAGACATATTTCCAATCAAAATGGGGAATTTTTTTAATGAAAACCTGATAAGTTAAAACATGAAATGCTTATGCATTTATAAAAAAAAAAACTCAACATGTGCCCTTTAAAGATAGTATAAGTATTTCCGGCTCTGCATGTGAGCTATGGATATTATTACACATTGCAGTGTTCCCATGCCTGGAAATGTGCATATGGTAGTCCACCTGTCCAACCAACTTTGCTACCTGACTTGGAGGTTCTATTTCCATATATCTTCTATGTAAACAGATAGCTTTATAGCAAGCATACCATCTTGTCATTGTTTCTATACACAGAGGTAGAAATTTTAATACTCATCAATCATAGAAAAGGTGATTATAATTTAATTAAGATAATTCAGTTTATTATTTATCTTTATTATTCAGGCTGGGAATTTGAATGTGCCAATCGTGACATGTAGTTATAGGGCCCATTTCCTTATTTCGAACAGTCTAGTTTCCCTTATAAACAATAATATTCAACAATGTTCAATATAAACAGCAGGAGTGATAGTCCAGTCAGAAAATTGAAATTGTTTCTTCCTCCCAAATAAAAAAAAGGCAGAAATTAATTCTCTAGTTTCATTTTGAACTGCTCCTTTAGTTTCATTTTGAACTGTTCCTTAAGGAGCATGTGAACTGAAAGCACTATTTTTTAACATATTCATTGTCTTACACTAAATAAATCAAAGAAATCATAACCATCTTTGTGTCTACCGACTGCTGTACCTGTTATCTGGAACTGTAACATGATGAATTTTTCAAAGCTTGCAAGTGTTGAGATGAATATTTAAGAATTTATTGATTTTCCTTTTTGGTCTTTATTCTTTAATCAAAGCTACATTTAAAGTAGTTCAATAGTTTGGTTGTTTTAACTGAACCTCCTCTGTGGCAGTCAACCTGACATCTACCTGACATCTTTTTTCTTGTACATTAACTGCAGTACCACAATTTTGAACAATAAATGGAACACTACAAAATGGCAAGATGTCAGTAACAGGACTTCAACAAACATTATCAACAAACAAATTGGATTTGTTCTTTATATATATATATATATATATATATATATATATATATATATATATATATATATATATATATTTTTTTTTTTTGCCTTATACTTTTCAAAGCTTATTAAGTTATGAATAAAAAGAAAAACACCCAAGAAATGTGAATGGCGCAGACTGATGTTTTGGCAACATAAACAGATATAGGTCATGGTAATATGCACAGTAGCTCAGTAGTGCACAGTACTACCTGTACATACTGCATATCTCCACATACAACATTTGGAAACTAACATACAATTATGAGGGATCTCATTTCATCAGAAATCAGATGCAATCAATCAAGCCTCTCAATCTCTGCTTAATACATTATACCCCTCTTGCTCTCAAACATCTTTGATAGTATTTTGGGATGCATTTACAACTGTCAAGATTTAATTTAAACACCATGATTTTTTTTTTATTACAACACCTCATATACACAGGTATGACACAAGCTCAGTTTCAATATTACTGGGCTATAAAATCTATTCATTGTCTATTAGAGGATTATGCAGCAAGCTTTCAACCAGGGCAGCCATATTTATCCACAGTTCTGATAGTCCAGGAATCATCTTTGCTAGTGAAAGCAGCCTTAAAGTTCCTACACTCTTCTAGGTAACCCAGTTTCCACATATCCCAATTCAGGCTTCCACAAAACACGGACATTAATAAGTTGCGAAGCACATTAATTAGCTGCAAAGTTAGGTAATGCAACAGCATGCTTTCTCTGGTGCAAGCCTTGAATAAGCAGGGCATATCTTAGGATCTAACAGGTAGAGTAAATGGTGGCATTAGCAGTGCTTTGAGTATTAATCCAGGAGTAGCACAGTAGTTTGTTTATCCACCTAATATTTTTGAAATTTTCCAGCAAAAAATCAAAACATTGGCTAGTAAATCTTAGGGTGCTTTCCCAGAGATTTAGATCGATCTAAAGATTAAGATTTAGATCGACCTAACTCCCTGGGAGTTCACACTAAATTGCAGTCAGCCGAGCAGCCACCATAGTTAATTACCCCCTTACAGCTTTTAGTAGGCGGGACAGACGCTTAAGCCGGCCAAGCTGACAGTAATCTAGTGAGACTCCCCACAGGGATAGATCGATCTAAAAATCTATGGAAATGGGGTGTTAGTTAATTTTTCTAAAGCTATTGACATAAATGAAACCTAATTTGCTTTCCATAACTGCTGCTTTTATGTCATCTGGAAGATCATGGAACAATATCTTTAACTACCAGACCAGGTACTTAACCCCTGCTTCAACCCATACGTGTTAAGTGTCAAATGGGGGGAATAGCAAGTACCATTCAAAAAGGAAGTTGGTTTTTCTCCTGACAGGGTCCAACCCAGTCTGCCCACAAGGCCATCTGATCAGTTTAACAGCAAGAAGTGAATACCTTGTCAAATAAAGTAAAAACCCATAGAATTATAACATCTTAGGACTCTTCAAAGTGGACTGGCCTACATTACCCATTTAGCTGGCAGTGTTGAGGTTTTACAACACTTACCCATGTGAGCTCTGTTCGAGAGCAGTAGCCGGTTTTTCCACTCCAGACCCTTCGCATGGTTCTTTTCAAGCTCGTCAAACATCTGCGGTAAATGGACCACAACACCATTGCCTAAAAATGGATAAAATTTTAAGAATTATTACGCATTTCAGAAAACTTAAAAACTGTAATGACAGTCTGGACTGACAGTTGCAAAAAAAATACCGGATGGACTGTAAATTCAATGGTGGCTTTAAAATTTTTGTCAGTCCTTTGGACCTACTAATAACAATTTTGTACCAGTTTTATCGGTTATAACAGCTAGGGCAAACACTTCTGCATCTACATGTCTGAACTTCATCATTTTTTCTAGACTGATAGCAAAAGCGGGAATTATTTGAGTTGCAAAGCATTATATGACTTGGGTATGCCATGTGTAGTTGATAAACTTCAGCCAGTTTGATCAAGGACGTTTATTATACATCCTTGGTTTAATGTACCCACCTATGACTGACATACAGTGTGGGTTGGCCAGCCCACTTGGAAGAAGATGGAAGTCATACATCTTACCATCTACCACAACAGTGTGCCCAGCATTGTTACCTCCCTGAATGGAAATAAATAAATAAATAATAAATGTCTCACACTGCTTGCGTATAAAATCTAATTCTATACACAAAAGTATTACCATTATGCCTATTAAATACCATTACATAGTGTAGATAATGATAATACACTGCTCTACCCAACTGTGCTATTTCCATTAAGACTGAGGTAGAGGCCTTCTCCTGTCAGTGTTAGATAGTAGATAGACAGCTTATGAACAGATACCTGGACCTTCGGGGCACCTTGGCTCACTACCTCTTTCATAGAAATTTTTAGCCTAATGTTTAAGAAAATCTGCTAGGGGTAGAGTAAATATCATTTTGATTGACTAAAATTCACACATTATTAATTTCAATCAGTTGATAAGGTTTTTTGGGTGCCAATCTCCGACCCCTTTTTGAAATTTATTTATATAATCATTATTATTATCATTACTATTATTCTAAAAGGGTGTATGTGCTATGTTTAATTTTTTTTTCTACTCTGCAGCCATGCTTTTATTCGGTGTAACACACAGAGAAGCAACACATTTCCTTCAGCTTTTCCAACTGCCAATGCGCCATCTATAATTCATATGAAAAATACAGTAATTCCGACACAAATATCTGTTCCTTATAGCCTTGTTCAGTGACAGGATTCAACATTAAAATTTAACAACAGAGGCAGATTCAATCAAGAGCAATATTCACAGAGGTTTTTTTAATGTATTGTTAATGTATCAGAAAAGTGCATACACAACAGTATCGTTTACTAAAACCTGTATCAGTTCAGGTTCACAACCACTCCAGTCTATGTAGCAGCTTTGGTCAGAAATTGATAGATTGAGTGTCAATTATTCTATGAATACTGACCGCCTGACCTTTCTGTGACAGTCAATTTACAATAGAAAACTATATAAAAGGCACTTCCTGACAAGACAGACTGGTTTAGGTTTGTATTCACATCAGTCTGGTACATCTGATACGTCTGTCTGTCTGTGTGTGTGTGCGTGTGTGCGCGTGCGTGCATGCGTGCAAGCGTGCATGCATGCATATGTGAGTGTGTATGTATATCCTGGGGGAGAGGATTTAAAAGCTTGGACATATATTTCAACACCTGGCCCAGGCCTACCCAACTACCAGACTCGGCACCAAATGATCCTGAATTCATCAGTAGATCGGATCACACTACCCATTTTCAAGGTGTGTATCAGTATGCATTTCATAGTATCATACCATAGGACAAATTTTGTACGATGACTGCGAGCTCAACCTGTCATTTGGGTATCGCGCCTCCTTTTTTGTCAAGTAGGAGTCATAAGAAAACAACAATATGGCAACAGGTGTAGCCTGTGAGCAAATTGAATAATTTCAGTAGGTAATGTTTGATTCATTTTATGTTAACAGTGAAGCTAATGATTATATGTTAATTGTTATGATGATTTTCTAGCTAAGCGAGGATATTATGCACATCTATTAGTAATTTCACAAGAGCACATTACACCGAGAGAGCACATTACTCCACACTACTTACAAACAGCTAGAAACCCAGGTGAAAGCTGGCCAAATTGCTTCACATTCTTTTATATGATCCACTCATCTTATATTAGTGTCATGATATCACAGTTTGAGTCAATTTGGTGTTCTTGACCACTAATCCAAGGTTCAAGATTGCAAACAGCAACTATTGTTAATGAACACTGAACACTTTATCTAATCATAAGCATTAGTAATTTTAACAACTGATTCTTAGCAGTTTTAAAGCTGCAGAGAAGGGGAAAAATAATGCTTATTATAAAGTTAAGATGATTTTAAGATTAATTAGAAGTCAGAAGAGACAGGTCCCACCATTCTTATGTGGGCAACCTCACCCTTCAAAGAATCACTTGATGCAATATGCGACTTGTACATCAAACACACATTCTAACCAAATCTACCAGCATGTGTTATTATACACAGATAAATTATATATTTTTGCTGGTGCAAACCTGGATCCACTTACGTTAGTAGATTAAAATCATTTATTCAGATTGCATCATATAATCTTTTTCAAACGAGTTAGCTACTAAATGTTATTTGTTTATTTTAATGGAATTGCTGTGAGAAATTGGATACTCTTTATCTGCTGACCAAGTGTTACAGTTGTTTTCAATTAGTTAACGTGAGCCTGTTTAGTACGTATGTACTAGTAAAGTGACTATTTTAACAACGAAATCGTTAAAACAACATGACAATCTAGGCGTAGTTGCCGTGGATTATCTTCAAGTGTGTTCAGTTATTAAATTGACCACTGTGTGTCAAACTAAATGTTAAGAGTACTCTGGTTTGAAAATAAACACCCTCAATTTTAAAGGAGACCGCACGTGTTCCGGGTACAGAGTGGATGAAGGCTAAGAAGTTGAAAAACGTTGATCCGATCGTCTTGCACAAGTCGGTCAATAAGCTTACCTGACACCGACAAACTACGTCTGATTCAGTTGCTAACAAGTCAACCATCTTCCCCTTGCCTTCATCTCCCCACTGAGCGCCTAAAACCACTGTCACCCTGTTATCATGCTCCATCCGTTGCCGTTTATGGGGCATATCCCCGTTAAGACTTGTTTCTGTCGCCATCCCCACTTTCGCGCGAAATCCAGATTTCCTGCGCACACCGGAAGTACGTATATATATTTCACGCGCGATATGTGACCGATATATGAAACGAGGACTGTAGTAGGCCAATGCTGGTTAATGTTTTTTGCATGGAAAAAGATGGAAACGGAATATTTTAGGCGGTGAAAGTACTTTTTCTCTCGCGACCGTGCTGTGTCAGTATGCACCAAAAGGAGGTAAAAATTTTACTAGGGGTTAATTATCTCGTTGGCTGAGGTGAACGGCAACGTGGTCCCTTTGCCAAAGGCTTTGGGTTTGCTTTCAAAATGTTTGCAATTAAAATTTTTAATTTCCAGTTTATTAGATCTGTGAGTTGAAAAAAAAGAAAAGAATTTCCATGTCTTATTCAAAAACCTTTTTTTTTTTTTTGTTTTGTATTTATGGGCACTAAGGTGCTTATTGAGATCTTGGACATAATAACGTTGAGGTAAAAAAAAAAGTAAATCGTTGAAACTGAAATTTTGACATGGCTTTATTACCAGTGGTTAGGCAAGTTCTTCAAAGTTCTCAGAATTTCTAAGTATGTGCTCCATGGGTTTGATAATCCCCCAAATGCTTATTTTTGCCACCCATAGCTTCTTATTAAACCTTACATACACACTAAAAATGATTTAAACCCTCAAATATTTTTTTCTGGAGCGCACCTGATGTTCACATATCCATTGGAGATTAAAGGAAATGGTCGCTGCTATATATAATGACTGGCCAGTAATTTTTGATTAACATTGAAAATTAGGGAGTTACAGGGTGGGAGGCAAATGCTGCAAAGGTATCAAAAAGTTTCCATCAGTGATATTATTATTGCTAAGTGCATTTTATAGTGATTGACACAGACCACAAGTGAACCATAATTTGGACTGATGTATCTTTTGACCAGAGGCAGAGGTGAAAAAAAGAGCAATATATGCAAGGTAATTATCCATCTTACATCAGAAGGATAAATTCACCAGAAAAAATGACATTCAGAACTTTCCTAGTGCTAGAAACTATCGTGTCTTGTTTCCATTGTAATTTTTGATTAGATTTTCAATGCTACTCCCTATGTGAACGTGTAATTGTTTGATTTTTTTTTTTTTTTTTGGCAGCAGTATATATAATTTTTAGCTCTAGGTAGCAGCTGCTATAAGATAGAAGGATATTATTACATTTAGATGGAAATACTGCTTCATAACAAAGCAGTTGATAAAGCAAGAAACGTTCGGCCCTTCTAAGGACACATCTTTGCATACAAGCTTCATCTGCTTATTTATTTTTTAAACATTAAATACCTGTCTGACATAGGAAACTTCATAGATAGATTAAAACAAAATTTCTTTTTTATTTTCAGATGGAAGTGAGGGCACCCAAAAGGCTGAAGGATTGGAATGTGTCACCAGTTTTATCCCTGAACCCTGATCATTTAAGAGCAGCATGGAGGACATCCCACCCAAAAAGCAAACGTGTTGGATGGCCTGTAAGCTTATAAATGAACATTAAAAGACAAATGAGTCTTGTTTTTTAAGGAGAGGAAACTCTTCATCCACTTAGTATGCATTAAAAAAACAACCACAAAGTTCTTTTCACTGTTCTCCATATTTTGAAAGTTTGTTACACCCCAAAGAGGGTTTTTTTGAAAACATGTTGGTTTTAATTATTTTATCGACCATAAGTGATGGACTGTAGTGATTCATGCAGAAGACTTGTGTGTATTATTTGTCATAAGAAAAGAGATTGTGGTAGGTGTGCAATAAAGACAGACAATAAAGGATGTGCTTTTTAGAGGAGTTATGTGGAAGGATTGGTGATCACAGTTCAGGGGAAATAAAATCAACAAATCAAGTAAGTAAAACTTTATTCAAATCGAATTGAAAATGTGAGTTCATTGAGTTGAAATCATGAATAGTCAAGTTTTGACTTCTTTTTTACAAAGACGAGGAAAAAAAAGGCTGCACAAGTCCTGGAATGAAGTACTTCGTGGATCATACTAAATCAGGGAAATAAAAAGTGGTTTTCATGGGTAACAAACTACCCAATGTAACCTCTGTTTATTGCATGTACATTCTGCTAGTATTACTTAATTAATTTTTTATTTTCTCCTTCTCTTCTCTCTCTCAATCTTTTTTTTCTTTTTTTAATTCTCAAATAGGGCAGAACATGTCATTTGTGTCTGAAACTGCCATAGCTTGACCATACAGTGAATTAACCAGGGGTCATGTAAAAAGTTTCAGAAAGTTATAAAGAGAGGGCATGGTAGGTTTTTATGGTGTAAAGTTTAATGTTGGGAAAACTGAGCTTGTTGCCATTTTGATGATGTGCACAGACGAGACTGGAATTTTGTAAGTTTGTGTAATTCTGGGAAGGTAAAGGAGAACCTTCAAAGCACCCAAAAGGATTAATTTACTATTTACATGTAATTTTATACCATGCATTTTAGGTGCTCTTGCAAGTGTGAAACTTACAGCATATCCAGTATTCAAACTTCTAAAGACTTAATCCTGAGTTATGTGAATTTCTGGATGCTTCAGCTTTGATTATGTACTGATAAATCGAAAGACATCATCAATTGTACCATTCTGACATAAGCTGAATTGTTATTTCATTGTGTGTGTGTGATTCTGAATTGTTACATAATGCTTTATTGATTGAAGCATATACATTTACATGGGTAGGTGAAAGGTAAAATAAAGTTATAAATAAAAATACTATTACAGTTGGTGCTCAAACAATTTGAATGATGCTATCAATCCAACCAAAAAACTTTTCTGAAATGATATTTCTGGGCCCAAACACTTAGAACAAATGTCAAAATGCAACAGAATTTTTTTCCTTGTTCGGCAAAACTCAGTAAATTTTCCAGACAGTGAATAGAGTCTGCACGCCACAGTCCTTTGTCAGTTCTGATGATTTTAATTGCTTTCATCAGTGAGGAAAGAACAATTAAACCCAAGATCTTATCTGGAAGTGAAATGTACCTGTTATTCTTTTTTCTTGTGTTGACAATAATGATGCTCACAGACTTGCATCTTGCTCCTAAAGGGGAAAAGGTATGCTCTGGATTAAAATTTGATCTATTACCACAAAGGTTTTGTGGTAAAAGGTCCACTTTTTCAGACCACATAGCCTTCTTTTGAAGTTGCTGGTACCGGGCCTGTTCACACAAAGTGATTTTTCATTTACAAGGACATACTCATTTCTGTCCAACAAATATTAACAGTGGGTCAGATATCTTGTAAAAGACCTTCACATAGCAGTAGGCCATGTAACATTTGCTCACAATTAAAAGTTTTATTTTCAAAGTCAATTGAAATATATACATGTATGTACATAATAGATAGGGGCACATTATTGATGTCTGATACCCCGAGATCCTACGTTTACTACAATTTTTAGCAATCAGCAGGATCAACCCCGACTTCTAGGCTGATTGAATTTGGTTAGCAAATTCGTCTATTTCCAGATGTGAAGCTGGCTGGTCAAGATAAATTTTTCTTTTGCTATTTTGACCAGAAAATACTTGTAGAAATACGGGGTATATGATATGAAAATGTGTTTCAAAGTGTGAGGGTGCAAAATTGTGTTTATTTTCTCTCAACTTGTTTTCATATAACTTGATTTATTGACCAACAGTGGGACAAAAAAAAGTCAAGGAAAAAATTCTTGTCAGGTGTGCGCGAATCAGGGACTTATGCCATGACAAATATGACCTCTTGATAGCCTCTTATCTGAGCTAAAAATTACAACCAATGGAAACTGGCAATCAATAGCCTTGGGCTGTCGGTCAATGGCCTTGAGAACTGTCAGATTGGATCTTATCTACCTGTCAGAAGTGTTTCACAACTGAATATTGCATAAAAGTATTCTCTGCTCAAAATGCCAGAAGAAAAAATTATAATCATACTATACCCTTGGAAAATCTGCTTCTACTGAGTACTTCTCACTCACTGCCCCACTCCTGTGCACATCCAGCTAAAAATGACCAGCCTGCTTCAGGCCTTACACCATTCAACTTCACATGATGTCACACTTCAGACACAATAATATATCTTCTCTCGTCTCCTATAATGCCAGTAGATACAGCACTGTCTTCAAGATTTCACCAAGATTACTCTAGGTACTGAGCTTATATCATAGGGTGCTTTCCCAGAGATTCAGATCGATCTAGAGATTAAGATTTAGATCGACCTAACTCCCTGGGGGTTCACGCTAAATTGCAGTCAGCCGATCAGGCACCATAGTTAATTACCCCCTTACAGCTTTAAGCCGGCCAAGCTGACAGTAATCTAGTGAGACTCCCCACAGGGAGAGATCGATCTAAAAATCTATGGAAATGGGGTGATAGACAAGTTGCATTATTATTACTACTTGGGTCACATTCAGAACAGCTGATCTACGGATCAGTAGTTCCGAGGATCTAATATGGCAGACCCTACCTGAAAGCAAGATGGCCTAATCCTTTTATGGTCTCCCTGCCTCCACATGGCTTAAATTTGGCCTCTATGTTTAATTGCTAGGCCTCTGCAGGGAAGGCGCATTTGGAGGCGGGGAGACCATTAAGGACTTGCTTGGTATTGCTTTTTACCAAGGTTGTAGGTTCGGCCATATTCAGGTGTGTCAGTACGTGCTTCGAACTATCAGACGCGACACCGCTCTTGCCTAGTATGCGATGTGATAGTGATGATTCTCAGCGGGGTTGGAAAGTAGTGCATCTCATCTCAAACTTTGTTCCGGGGTATGATACTGTGAAATGCATACGACGCACACCTTGAAAATGGGTAGTGTGGTCTGATGTGCCGGTGAATGTATAGTATCATTCGGTGCCGAGTCTGGTAGTTGGGTAGGTCTTATATTTAGTCCATGGATCATTAATTCTGCAGATCATCTGTTGTGAATGCAACCTTATCATTACCCATATATACTACTTGCATTTTAACATTTGTGCTGGTATTATTGGAAAATTTCTTATAAGTCAAGCAGAGTATAATCCTGTTTATATTTAGTATATATACTGTCAGTCAATGAAAAACGCATCAGAAAACTTTCTTGTACTTTTTTACCGAGAATCGATTCCAACCATATAAACAAGTACAAATGCACTTGTTTGGTCATAAGAGAGTGGGCTCACCACTCGGATGTTTAAAATTTCCGCTTCAGTGATTTTGTGATCAGTTGCTACAAAATTATTTGTTTTCCTGTCTCGTGATTGGTGTGAATCAATCAGGTTCAATATATGGTGATTAATTAAGCCTATTTAAGGAAGTCACCAAATCCAGTATGACACATGACAAAAAAGTTCAGTAATGCCACGTCTGACACTGGAAGAGCGACTGGGAGCCCTGCATGGGAATGCTGGAGGCTTGGCGGAACCAAAGAGATTCAATCACGCTACCTTGCATTTTAATGATCTTTTCTGACCTTTATTTCACCTTGTGTGACTGAATAATGGGTCATATTTCACACGAAAACTTATTTTCTTAATGTGCCAAAGGAACGTAACACATTATTTGATAAATAAATGATGCGTTTTCATTGACTGTCAGTATATCTTATGTACATTTTTGTAACATTAAAGCATTTACCACTTTATATAAAATTTCATATGAAAACAATTATCTCCCTGCCACTGCCTGGCATTGGAGTAAACTTTTTTTTTTTTTTTACTTTGAGGAGGGCTTTGTTATACTTTTTATTGTGATAGTGATGTTTACTTTTATAAAGTTTTAAAGGAACCAGTGAAATAATTAAGAAAATAATTTTGAGAAAGAAAGATTATACAGTGTATTTTTGGCCTGTCTGGTAATAAGTACTTATAGATATGTACCTATAACAGGTTATTGGTCAGCAATATCAAGGCTGGTGTCTTTTTCTAAAAGAAAAGGGATTAATTTTTTTTACTGAAAGACCTATTGTGCTTCAATACTGTTTTTCCAAGTTTTATTTCAGAAAAAAATAAGAAATGAAAGAAAGTGAAATTGAAATATAATTAAGTATATTTACAAAATCAGGGAAATACGTTTTGTTTCAATAAAGCCTAAGCTGAAAATTACACTTAAATGTTGTGTAAATGTTTCCCAAACCAGTATTATATGCCTTTCTTTTTGATTGAACATGGTAATCTAATCACTTACTTTGAAAGAAAAGTGATAACAAACCTGCCTCCATTTTGAAATGTTTAAGTCCTTAAATAGAAAAGACTAATTACCAATCATCTGATTAAAAAGTCACACCTGATGCTTTTAAAGCTATAATTAAATTTAATTCAGATTTTTTTAAAATTTATTTTCACAAGTACACTCACAGTATCACACAAAAAAGGGAACTGTAGTATAGGATAAGTATCCTAAATGTCAAAACTATTTGTACATAATAATCAAAATCTACAATTTCACATTAGAACTGGGAAAAATCACAGTACTTTTCAAGCTGAGAAATCTTTGTTTACAGTCGGTTATCTAATCTGCCATTTATATCCCACTTAGCACCTCTTTGTGTTGACTCTAGCTATTTAAGGGCTCATTCCTAATGAACCTATAGGTCTATATAGATCAGTCCAACTCTGGGGACTCTTGCTGAATACAATCAGATCGAGAGACTAAGACCCCATTCCCATAGATTTTAGATCGATCTATTCCTGTGGGGAGTCTCACTAGATTACTGCCAGCTTAGCCGGCTAAAGCGTCTGTCCCGCCTACTAAAAGCTGTAAGGGATAATTAACTATGGTGCGCGCTTGGCTGACTGCAATTTAGCATGAACCCCCAGGGAGTAAGGTCGATCAAAATCTAAATCTCTGGATCGGTCTAAATCTCTGGGAATGCACTCTAAGTGCTGTTGGGGAGAAGTAAACTCCAGAAGAGTTGGTGGTTATATGAGTGCATTAGAAACGCACTTGTCTACTGTTTAATCTTTTTATTCTGATTGCATTTAGCCTGAGTCCCGGCTTAGTCGGATCAATCTACGATGACTGACAGTTTCATAAGGAATAATCTCTAAGTGAGGGATTAAATCTAATTCATAGCTTGTTGTGCATACTTAATTGTGCTAGAACCAATAAACTCATCATTTACAGACTGTTTTAATCCCACTACTGTTAGTTTTGACAATATTTGCCTGTCCATTTGACACTTTTAGTGACTCGCAAAAAGGTACAGTGCAAAGGGCAATAACCCTTGCATAACTGATGTGTGTAGGCATAACATGTAGGTTAATATATGCAGTGTGAAAGTAGGCCGGGTTATGTTCACAGTTTATTCTTATGCGTCTGTGTATATTCTGATCACTTTATCTGTCAATGTTGTCACCTTCCAAAATGTCTATTCCTATAACTGTCAAACTGTATTTTTCTTTAACTTAAAATTTACTGAGTAACTTCTTAAGTTTTAAATAAAGGTTCCTTTTGAAAGTCTACATTATCCATTTTTTGGGTGTTTTGATTTTTACATAGTTGCCAGCTTTGCTGTCTAATATAAGGGACCATTCCCAGACCCTATTGCACTAACTGTGGATGGATCTATCTCTGAAGGGATTCTTGCTAAATTGCAATCAACCTATAAGCAGCTTAGATGTCTGTTACCCTTACTGAGGCTGCGGAGGGGGGGGGGGGAGGTAATTAACTTTTGTGTAGAAGTAGACCTAAAAGAAATACCCTTTTGAAATTGCTGACTACGGGGCCTGAGTAAATGAGTCTTTAAATAACAATACTTTGCAGTGTTGATATATGCAACTTGCTTTTCATTTGGTTAAGTCCTATATTTGAACTCTGCCTTGTTTATACTCCACACAACAGCTTGAACTGAATTTGTCCCTTTCTTATCTGCATACAGTATGCCCCCAGTTTGAAATACCTAGCTCAGGTCAGAAACTGATGCTTTCAGAAACTTTGTTTTCATAGAGCCAGACGTCCATTTGCAGACACTCGAGCATATCTTATATATATTGGTAAGTGCTAGTGGATATGCTAGTGAATACTTTTGCATAAGAATAGGCTATATATTGGTTTATGTTTTTCTTTAAAATTTAAGGTCCTTCTAAAGTCAAGTTTGAAAATCTACGTGTTCAGATTTTTTTATAAATTTTATTTCAAATATGCTTTTAAGTGTCAACATTTAACTATGCAATAGCTGTCTGTTGTGTCAGTAATTTACTTTCTCTTATTGCAGAAGCAAATATAAGTAGCCACTTGAACATGCAATCAGATAATTAAATGATAACGTTTATCTCAGTGCAAAAAGATTTCATCTAGAAATTGCTTGTTCTCTTCAGCTCTCAGGTCAAATAATTTTTCCCATTGTGAAGGGAGTTCTATTCATTTAACAATACCAAATATGCATGTACTTCCAGTAACTTGTCATGTGCAAAGTGTTGCATTGGAATTAGTTAAGAAGACATGTGCATGCTACACTTTACATACGGAAATTTTGAACAGTTTTCCAATTAAGAGCTAGTGGGTCATTAAGGCTTCGTTCACATGCAATGTCTATTTTCTATTTTCTATTTGCGCTATCTTATGATCACGGTCTGTGCCCTGAATATCCTGCCGCGTAATTACTGGCAGCGCGAGCCAGTTACTAATAGTAACTTATAGTAACTGGCTCGCGCTGCCAGTAATTACGCCGCGGGATATTCAGGCCACAGACAGTGATCATAAGACATACCGCAAATAGAAAATAGAATTTAGAAAATAGACATTGCATGTGAACGAAGCCTTAAGCTTTTCTAAATGTTTGTGCAGTTCTGAACAACTTTCATTTGTTTAATTGTTGATAATACAAGATGTTGTGAACCATCCGAATGACTTTGACTTCATTTTATAATTGTACTGAATTCCAGTATATTTATTTTCATCAACAAAGGGCTTTGACATTGACTCCAGACCCAACTCAGTCTTCCACTTCACCTGCAAAGCATAACAAAAAAACTAACATGTTGAGTTCCAAAACTAAAGTTTCTTTTTGTACAAATTTCTTATGCTATACGCTTTATCTAAGTGGATCAATATGAGTGCAACAGTAAATTCAAGTGACTTACATTCTTATTGTTGTGCAACAGGTGAGAGTTTCTTCTTATCAGATTTAAGTTATCCCTCTAGCTGTATCAGCCATATCTACACATAGAATGACAATGAAACATTTATGCAAGACTGAGGCAAATTAAATGGTAATACGTTGATTAAATATGAATGCATCATATGGAATTGGAGGTTTCCAGAAAGGTATCTGCTGCATTCAATCAACACCTGCAAGATAACATTTTTCACATTTTTAGTAGGTGGCAATGGGAAAGAAGGGCATCCTAGAACGGTTGGCTGAGGGGCCAGTGATAGGAGATGGGAGCTATGTCATTACACTAGAAAAAAGGGGCTATGTAAAGGCAGGGCCATTTACACCAGAGGCTGCTATTGAATATCCAGATGCAGGTAATTTTTTTTTTTTTTTTTTTTTTCATGAGAACAGGATGATTTCATGTGAAGTCAAAACCAGAAGTTTTAAACATATTGAGTAGGTGTTTGGAAGATGGTTCTTTATTTATTTATTTATTTATTTATTTATTTATTTATTTATTTATTTATTTTAATCATGTCAAATTTGATACAGGACAATTTGTGCACAAAGTTTGGAAAATATCCAGGTATATATCTTATCATATATTTCCCAAACAACATTGACCTCAGAAGGGAATTCAATTATAAACATACCACCTTAATCCAGCCACTGATGAAAGTTGCCCCATATTCTGGTATTACAACACAGAATAAATGATTAATGCAAAGTTTATCTATCTAACAGGTTTATTAGAGCATAATTATCAAATGAGAACAAGGCACCAGGTCAACTTGACCATTACTGCTCAACTGAAATTGTCTTTGACTGGGTTTTCTGTAAGCTCTCAGTGTCGTGTGGGTTTCCCTTTGTTTTTTGAAAAACTTATTGACTCTGAAACTCATGTTGTGTGTAGACTGTTCCATTATTTAAATTAATTAAATGTTTTTTAATATGATTTTGGAAGGCAGGCGCCAGAACATAAAACTTAAATAATTATACATTATCAAGTTCTAATACAGGGCAAAACCAATACTCGTACAACTATCCCAAGCACTAAGTGCAGGCTAATCAATGTCCTTGTAAGATATGAAATTAAGACTTTTACATCATAATTTCCTTTGCTAATTGAATGAAGATGGTATAGTGAGGACATACAACAGGAAAGCTTTACGTAAATTATGTAAATACCTATAATGTTATGTGTGTTCAAATCTGTTTCTCAAATAGTTCGGCAACTGCATAGAGATTTTCTGCGAGCAGGAGCAGATGTACTGCAGGCTTTTACTTTTTACTCAACCGATGGGAAACTTAGCACTTCTGAGGGAGGAAAAGTATTTACAGTAAGTGCCTTTCCCCTTAACACGATACCCCCCTCCCCCATTTAGAGTAAGGCGTATTTTTAAAACTATGCAAGGGAGGCTCAAGCTGGTTTGGCAATTTGTTATTGCTTGCTTGCTTGTTTTTTTTTTTTTTTTTTTTTTTTTTTTTTTTTTTTTTTTTTTTTTTTTTCCCCCTTTTCCCCCAAATTTTTTTTTTTTAA